CTATGCCTTTTTTTCTTTTTTTTAAGGAAGATTAGTCCTGAGCTAACTACTGCCAATCCTCCTCTTTTTGCTGAGGAAGACTGGCCCTGAGCTACCATCCATGCCCATCTTCCTCTACTTTATATGTGGGACACCTGCCACAGCATGGCTTTTGCCAAGCAGTGCCCTGTCTGCACCCAGGATCTGAACCAGTGAACCCTGGCCACCAAGAAGCAGAACGTGCAAACTTAACTGCTTCGCCACCGGGCCTGCCCCTTACCCTATGCCTTTTGATTGGAGCATTTAGTCCATTGGCACTTAAAGTAGCTATTGATAAGACTGTACTTATTACCATCTTGTTCCTTTTTTTTCTGGATGTTTTAGTAGTTCTTCTCTATTCCTTTCTTCTTCTATTGCTCTCTTTCCTTGTGGCTTTCTTTAGTATTATGTTTGGGTTCCTTTCTCTTAATTATTTGTGTAGTTATTATAGGTTTATCACTTGTGATTACCATGAGATTCATACATAATATTCTATATAATGATCTACATGTATAGTAGTCTATATTGAGTTGATGGTCTCTTTACTCTGACCCCTTTCTAAAAGCTCTACTTTTCTACTCCCCTCCTCCCACATGTTATGTTTTTGATATCATATCTAACCTCTTTTTGTGTGTGTGTGGATCTGTTACCCTCTTATCATTGAAATAGGTAATTTTAGTACTTTTGTCTTTTGACCTCCATCTTATCTTCATAGGTGGTTGATTGGGTACCTTTACTGTATTTTTACCTTTATCAGTGATTTCATTGCCTTTTTGGGGGGATAATTTTCTAATTCCTATTTGTGGTCTTCTCTTTCCCACTTTCCCAGCATTTCTTGTAGGGCTGTCTTCTTGATGATAAACTCCTTTAGTTTTTGCTTGCCTGGGAAACTCTGTATCTCTCCTTCCATTCTGAATGATAACCTTGCTGGGTAGAGTATTCTTGGCTGTAGGTTTTTTCCTTTCAACACTGTAAATATATCATGCTACTCCCTTCTAGCCTGTAAGGTGTCTGCTGAGAAGACAGCTGATAGCATTATGGGGTTTCCTTTGTATGTAAATTGTTGCCTTCCCTTGTGGCTTTTAGGATTCTGTCTTTATCTTTAATTTTGGACATTTAATTACAATCTGCCTTGGTGTGGGCCCCTTTGGGTTTATCTTGTTTGGTGCTCTCTGTGCTTGCTGTACCTGGATGCCTGTTTCCTTCCTTAGGTTAGGAAAGTTTTCAGCTTAGCATTTTGGGTCTTCAGGTGGTGGTTGTGCTTCTTAGCATCACATGTTTGTTCCAGCCATGAAGAACATGGGGAAGAAAGCGTGGATGGTGTCTCTATCAGGACAGAAAAATTTCTCACAACTTTCTACTTACATTCACTGGCCAGAACTTTGTCACACAGCTGCCCTTCCCTGGAGTGGAGGCAGAAAATGAAAATATTAAGCAAATATATTGCTGTCTTGATTGAACTCAGAGTATTAAGAGGAAGGAAGCAGTAGGAGGATGGAAGGACAATTGGTGGGTAAATAATAGCATTTGTAGTAGTCATCATATCTTTTCACTGTCACACACTCACAGTAAAATTAATGATGGTTTCACTCCTTGATGAAAGGGTAAAGCTTATTCACTTTATTGTAGGACAAAATGGGGAGTGTGCATAAAGCATTCCACTGTGTGTTGAAGCATGATGAATTTCCTCAGGAAAAGCACTGTGTGACTTTTTGAGTTACTTGCTGAACTAGCCTCTTTATTCATGGAATACCATTTTTCCTTGAAAGAAGACTGATGACCAAACTATATCTTTTTTCAGACTTGGGTATTTGAAAGTGAATAAAATGAATCTGTCACTTCAAGGAAAACAACTGACAGAATTTATGCCCATGATCAAAATCCAGCTTTCAAGAAAAAATTAGAAATTTTTGGAAAACTTGTGTCTGCCACAATGAGCTTATTAGATTCTCGATACATAAAGGCTTTTCTTATGAGATTCATAATGATATTAATGAAGATGATTTTCTAACATTGTAAAATAAAATGGGTCCACATTCGGAAGACCTGCTAGACTTAGTGAGCCAATATTTTCCAAAGGACCAATGAATAATGTTGCAAAATTGCACGTGAGTAAAAGATCCATTCCAAGTGCTAAATAATTCAATGGATTTTTATTTTATTTTGCTTTTTAAAATTTTAAACTTTTAGTTTTGAGGTAATTTTAGACTTATGGAAGAGTTGCAAAGTTGTTCAGAGAATTCCCATATATGCTTCCCCTAGCTTCCCCTAATGTTAACAGCTTACATCACTGTGGTGCATTGATCAAAACTAAGAAATTACCATGACCAAAGAATTTTAGTATAATAAAGTACAGTAAAATCATTGATATTCTTTCAAGTTCCACATCACGAATAACCTCCTACCCCTCGTTTGAGTTTTGGTACAGTGTCAAACAAGATTATCGATACATATCTGAAAAACTATTAATTTTTCTCTTTTCTTCTCTTTTCCAACTATATATCATGCAACATCAAAACTACTTTTATATACTTCAACTAAAATTATGTACTGCAACAGAGGGAATGCAGAAGCAGGTATGAGAATCCAGCTGCTTTCTATTACCCGGACATTATAAATAGACTTGAAAAAATATAACACAAGGCCACTCTTCAAATGAAATATTTTTTGTTTTAGAATATATAGCTGTCTCATAAAAACGTTATGTAAGTTAGTATGTAATGGATTCACCATTATTTTAGATAAATACATATTAAAATTTTTCTCAGTTTTAATTTTGAATATGGTGATATTGACAGATATCACCCACATAAACAAAAACTCTTTGAGATACTCAATATTTTTAAAGAATGTAAAGGGGATGCTGAGAGCTAATTATCTGATTAGCTAAACGATGCATTGAATGTAGTGCGTTAACTTTCCTACATTGCGTCTAGACTAATACTGTCTGTACAGTATTAGTACTCTCTCCCATCCTTGGGAGAACTGAGAAAAATCATCATTCCAATTATGTCTTGTAGAGCTTATTTCTCTCAGAGGACCCCAGTAGAGAAAGACTGTTCTAGACACTAATAAATTAATAGATGTAAAATACGTTGAACCGTGACTAGTGGATCAGCCCTCTGTGCTTGTTAGCTGATATTGCTGCTGTTATTAATTGTTGCAATCACTTGACAGTTATGCGTCTTCAAGTATCTTCTCTCAGTTGGTGGCTTGATTTTAATTGTTTTTATGGTGTGTTTCGTTGTGTAGAAATTTTAAGCTTTTCTCTGTATTCAAATTTATCAACATTGTCTCTTTTACGTTATTGTCCTTTTTTCTTATGTCTCGGAGAAGAAACTCTTCCCTTCCCCAAAGTTATAACGATCTGCTTTTATATTTTCCTCTGCAAGTTTCTAACTTTCCAAGTCTTCGTCTTCACAAACTCTGAAACCACTGTTGTCAACCCCACCGGTGCCCACGTTGCGGAAGCCAGTGGTCCGTCCTCAGCCTTCATCCCATCGACTCATCAGCAGCCTTGGCACAGTCGCTCTCTCCTTGACTCCCGAAGTTCTTTCTCCCGTGGCCTCTGCAACATTGCTGTCTTTTGTTTTTTCAGCCTCACAGGCTGCTTTGTCCTTGTCTCCTCTGGGGCCGTCCTCCTCTCTGCATGTGGGGGTGTCCTGAGCCTTCCTCCTTGGACCTCTCCTCTTTTCTGTCTATTCTCACTCTGCGCCTGCTCTGACCCAGTGTTGTGCCTTTAAATAGCTACACACTGACGACTCCAAACACTTCCATCTGAGTTCTGGCCTCTCCTCTCAACTCTGTTTTTTTCAGCTGCCTGTTGGATGTCTAAGAAGCACGTCAAACTCAATTTGGCCAAAACAGAAACATTGATTTCTCCAAGCTGTTTCTTCCATTTACCCATTTCGGTAGCGTGACCATACATTCAGTTGCTTAAGCGGAACCCTTGGAGTTTTCTTGTTCTCTTCCTTTCACAATTCGTATCTAAAAATTTAGGCAAATACTGCTTTCTCCTTCAGAATGAATCCTAAATCTTAACCACTTTGTACCTCCGCCACCAGTACCACCTGTGTCCAAGAAATGGTTGTCTTTCACCTGCACTATGACAAATGCTAACTTGCCTGCGGGTTTGCTTGTCCCCCCGTCTGCTCTCCACACGACGGGGAGAGCAAGCATTTTGAAATACACATGACATTACGTCACCTGCCCCACCCTCCACTTCTAGAGGCTTCTCATCTCACTCAGAATAAAATCCGACGTCCGTACCATGGCCGAAGGTGTCCACAGAGTGGGACCACTGCCACTTCTCCACCTTTGTTTCCAGTTCTCCTTCTTGCTTCTCTGCTGCAGCCATGACGGGCTGCTGGCTGCTTCTGGGACTTGCTGAGCTCGTTACCAGCACCTGGCTTCAGTATTGATCCTGTCCAGGCCCTGTCTCACTCGGAGAACTTTCATTCCTGTTTTCCCTGCAGGAGTCACATTCCTGGTGACCACTGTTTGCTTCCAGACCCACATGGAAGCCTGGAGTTTCACACTTCTGTTTGGTATAGATTCCATACAAGATACATATTTGTATTTCTGTGCATTTTTTTCTTGTTATTTTGTATCTATTATTGTTACGTCTTTGGAGAAGAGAGGTATATCTTCATGGGGACATCAAAAAGAAAAGCCATTAAGCCTTTAATTATCAATATAAAATATATTATATTTTTGTTTTAAGCTCATGGTTACCTGTGCATGTATATTTTTTGCTACATTTTCCCTCCCTACATAATGTGTCATTTCAATTTGATTTCCTCTAGATTCATGGGTTATCTAGGAGATATTTTCTTGATTATACATCAGTTAGGATTTTTTTCTTTTTGATGGGGAAGATTGGCCCTGAGCTAACATCGTGCCAATCTTCCTCTACTTTATGTGGGACACCGCCACAGTGTGACCTGATGAGCAGTGCTAGGTCCACGCCTGGGATGCGAACCCATGAACCCCAGGCCGCCAAAACAGAGCATGTGAACTTAACCACTACGCCACTGGGCTGGCCCCAATACATCAATCAGGGTTTTTAAAGGGTATTATCCCCCACTGAGTTCTAATTTTTGTATTATTATTAAAGAATATGGCCTATATAATTTTTTTCCAAATTGCAAGATCAAACGTGAAATATATGTTCTCAATGTTTAAGGAATAAAGTTCTCTAGTTGTTAAATAAAACTTATTGACTATATCGTTCAAATCCTCTATATTATTAATTTTTAAAGTCTATTTTAAAACCAACTTCTGAAAGAAATGTAGGAAAACTCCCCATCATGGGCACGTATGTATTTTCAAATCCTCCCTGCTTGTTAGGAGTTTTGTTTTATGCAGTTGTCTGCCATGCTGTGTGTTGTATAGAGTCTCATGACTGTTATATCCTCTTTGTGGGCTGCATCTTTTATTCTCTCGTAAGACTCTTCTTTGTCTTTTGTTGAACACGTTTATCCTTGAATTTGCTTTGTCTGAGATTGCTGCTTCTGCTTTCTTTTTGCTTTTGGCACTGTCTGTTGTTGCCCAGCTCTTTGTTTTTAACCTTTTTCTTTTTTTAAACGTGTGTTTTATTTAGATAATACACAGTTGCATTTTATTTTTTAGTCACATCTGACAGTCTCAGATTTTTAATAGGGGGATTGATTCTGTTCACATTTTTGTGGTAACAAGTATACTTTGGGCTTCGGTGTTATTTCGTTTGTTATCTGTATCAGTTAGGGATGCGCTTGACCATACGTAACAGAATACAAGGCTAATAATTGCTTAGTTAAATAAAACCCACATTTTTATATTATCATAGGTCATTTAATAGTTACAGAGCTTTATTCCTTGAAGTTCTGTATTTTTCTCAAATGACGAGAAATCTGGAGGATACTGCGATGGGCACTGTTGGCTTAGCTGCTCGACAAAATCCTTGAGGATCCATCTCCTTCTGTCCTTCCGCTTACTCATCCTGAGCTTGTGACTTTCTTCCTCATGGTTGCAAAAGTCTCTCCACAACTCCAGCGATCACTTCATCCCAGGGAGGAAGAGGGCGGCGAGGGAAAAGAGCAAAGGCTCAAGGGGTTTCTCCTAAGGAGTTTTCACCTTTTGTTTGGAGAAGGGAAGCCCCTCGCTGGGAATTCTGCCCATGTCTGCTTTGTCAGAAACGGGGACATCCGGTCACTCCTAGGCTGGTCACTTGCCAACGAGAACAATATTACAAGACGGCTTCGACCAATTTTACGTGTCCTTCAAGGCTGGAGTGGAAACTTGCCTCTCCCGAAACTGAGGGGTTTCTGTTACTCTCTAAACAAATCAGATTTTCTGATCAGGGAGGAAGGTGGGCAGGAAGGGGTGGTGGGCAGGTGACTGCCAAGTTTGCTGTGACAGCTACGCGTTTTTGTTGTTTTTTCTCTTCCTTTTACACATTTCTCCCTGTTGGTAAGCCTTTTAGCATTTAATTCCCCCACTATTAATTTGCAAGTTTTATAATTCTAATCGCGGTTGCCTCCCTGTTTCCATCAGTCACAATTAAACCCATTTCTCTGTAACTATATTGCTTTCAACATGCTAAAAAATAGCAATGCCCTCCTATATTAGTCGGGGGGATCAATTTTGATTTGCGATGGGTATCTGCAATTCCGATATTTGCAGTTCTGCAGTGGATAACGCCTGGCATGTCAGTGGACTGACACCAGGAGGGGCTGCTTCCTGGTAATCACAGCGTGATGCGGGTTGGGTAGCCCTTCTGTGCCTCCCTTTCTAACATCAACTCACAGATCTGAATGCTTTTCTCTTGCAATTCCACCATCTTGGAGTTGTCTGTTTCCAGCTGGGTGGACGAGACGCAGAATGTGGAGAAGGCGCACCGGCTGCAACAGCCTCAGCCTGCAGGGACGGGGGCGGAGGAGGCTGAGGAAAGGAGGCGTCTGAGGGCTCAGGAGAGGAAGCGGGCGCTGGCATGGCGTGGTCCCTGACAGATTGTCATTCTGGTCCCTCCCACATTTGGTTCTTCTCCTCCATATGAATACACCCATCATCTCCCTGAGGGGGATGCCCTCGAGTCTCCTTCTGCCCCACCATCCAGCCTTGAGTCCACAGTCTGTGGGGGCGTTTGTCTTTGTCAGGTCTGGATGTGGCTAAAGAGACATAACATCTGGACACCCCCACGTTTAAGACACGACACGCAGTGGAGGCTCCGGGTCAGCATGCCCACCATGGGAAAGAGGGAGTGTGCGCGCTCAGGCCCTGTCTGCGATGCCCTGCAGTCCCACAGGTCGAGCTCTGTGGTGCGCCCCCCACAACAGGCAGTGAAGGGCCGGCCTTGACGGTGCCCCCGAGGGCCCCCTCCTGTTCCTTGTTCCATGGCCTCGTCTGAACCGAACGCTGAGGATCACCCTTTCCTTGGGCCAGTACAGCCTTTGAGACCAGCCTCCTGCTTATCGAGGTCGGGGACCCAAAGGTTAAGTCTTGAGCATCCAAAGGCTTTCTTAGTCCAGACTCAAAAACCTAGGAGGCTCCTGATCTGTTTGCGTCCGTGTCCCGAGAAACCATGGCTAAGGGTCTTTTCTGGACGTATTCCACTGACTGACTACACCTCGTCGCCTCCTTACCCCATGACGCCTCCCTCAGCCTCTTTGAAAGTGAGTGCGAGGGGTTGCACTCTGTGTGTTTGTGGCGGCCTGGCTCCTCTGAGGAGCAGAGACGCGGGTGGGATTAGACCCCTAGAGTTTTGCTAAGAAAACCCTGTGAGAGAAAGAGGGCAGAGGGCCGGCGGAGTCTGGGAGGGCTCTCACACCGCCACGCAGCTCTGACCTTGGGGCAAGGAGGTGGGGAGCAAGTGGACAGAGGGGTTCCAGCAGCCGTGCCGTCCACGGAAGGCCTGCCGGGAGGAGTCCGGCATCTCCCAGGAAGGAGCCTGCCCTGCTTGGGCAAAGGCAGGAGCCACCTGTGGGAAGCGTGGCCTTGGGCAATGCCGGGAGGGTGGGAGCTGGAGAGCTCAGGTTGCTTATGTCCCTGCAGCTCCATGTCTGTGGAGCACGTTCTCACGGCCACCGCGGCGCTCTGTGCCCAAGGTCACTCTATCCACCTTGCAAGTCTCGCTGGGCTCTGCCATGCAAAACCTTTAAATAGCCCATCCCTTGCACCTGGACCCTAGAAACAGGAGGTTTTTCTGATCCTACAAAGATGCAAGTTTCTGCATTCTCTCTATCCCCTTTCATTTCTTCTTGCAAAGCCCTCTGTTCTTTCTTGAACTCTCTTCTCTTAACACCTTGCCTGACACAGCTGCTGGCAACCAACACACCCCACCTGCCTTCTGTTTTCCAGCCACCTCCCTCAGAGCCACAAGCTCAGAAGGCAGGAGCGGCTGCCTCTTAAGCTAGTGTCCGACAAGTTTACCAGATGTTTGCTCCTGTGTCCCACGGATCTCCAGCCATTTGTCCGGCTCCACCTCACTCGCCGCCCAGCTGCCACGGCAGTGACATGCAGGGTCCGTTTCTGTCTCCACAGCACCCCGCTTTGGGGAGAGGCCTCCGTTTTAGGCGTGGGCTCACAGGATCTCTTATAACAGGCAAACTGGAAAGCTCAGTGGCTTCCTGCAACGCAGGTTTATTTCTTGCTCACGTCACAGGCTGACGTGGGTCAGGGAGACTCAGGGACCTTGCTGCTTCGTTTGCAACTCCAGTGTCTCCAGTTGTGTTTCTAGAGGTGGGCAGGAGAGAGCATCTCTGCTATGGGTCTTGGAGGCACCGGGCCTGGACACCTGCTGCGGCGGCTGACTCTGCTGCTGTGTTGCTCCCCAGAAAGAGTCGGAGGGAGGGAGCTGGGGCTGCTGTCTCTCTGGGATCCTTTCCATAGATGACAGCCTTCGGAGGGGGGTGTGACAGGCGGGTGAGCGCCATCAGCCAACTGGGTTGTCCTTACCAATGAGAATGCGGCCTGTTTCTTCTTCTCCCTTGTTCCTCCTTCTGTCCTGATGCAGCGAGCGACAAGCACATCCAGTGGCTCCTGGGGGCGGACGGCGAGGTCTGGGTCTGGATCATGGGCGACGGCCCCGGTGACAAGCCCTACGAGGAGATCTCTGAGGAGCTGATGGCTCAGCGGGCGCGGCTGCAGGCGCAGAGGGAGGCCGAGGAGCTCTGGTGAGTGGGCCAGGGGTGGGGGCCGCCCGCTTGTGTCTACAGGGTCTTTTCCCCTGGGTTCTGTAAGGTCCAAGCATCTTGGCTGTAAGCATTTTTGCCACAGGCATTTTCACCCTGTAACTAATTGGCCGCCAGGCAATTTAGATGTAAAAGACTCGATAACTGGTTGGCTGTTTCTACTTTGGTCATTTCGTTTCTCCATCGAGGAACTTCTCGCAGTTACTTCATTTTTAAAAATTTTATTTTATTTTGTTTTTTATAGTTTTTGAGGAAGATTAGCCCTGAGCTAACATCTGCTGCCAATCCTCCTCCTTTTGCTGAGGAAGACTGGCCCTGACCTAAGATCCGTGCCCATCTTCCTCTACTTTATATGTGGGACGCCTACCACAGCATGGCTTGACAACCGCTGCCATGTCCACACCTGGGATCCGGGCCGGCAACCCCTGGGCTGCCAAAGCAGAATATGCGCACTTAACCGCCGCACCACCGGGCCAGCCCCTCACAGTTACTCCGTTTTTATAGGATTTTAATCTTAGCCTCATAGCAGTCCATACGGTGAGGGGTGGACGTGCTGGTGGTGGTCTTAAAAGGATTCGCATTTCTTCCCATTGGCCACGTTATTGATGCTTCATCAAGCTGATGGATGAGGACAATGAGCCCCAAGAGTTGGCTTCTTATTTGAAACATGCTGCGTTGGAGGGGGCGGCCTAGGCCTCGCGAGGGCACAGCGTTGACCCCCGTTTCCCACAGAACAGGACAAGCGCTTGGTTAGGTACCGTCCACACACGAAACAGAGTCAGTTGTTGGCACAGCATCACCGTGCATCTGCATACTAACGTTTTAAATGTCCTCAAATATTTTGTATTTCGCCATAAAGTCTTTTTAATTTTGTTGTCCGTTTTTTCACATTTCATTACATCCTCTTTAATTCGTGTCCTTCTTTTATTTTTCGCGATTTTATTTTTCCCAACCAGTTGCCTTATGGCAACTAGTTATGAGGCAAAAATGCTTCCTGCAAAGATGCGCGAGAGGAAACTACCCAGATCCGCTGGTGGGTCCAGGCCGGAGGAGGACGGGCGGGTGGAGGGGCAGGTCCCCAGCGGCCGCTGGCTGGTCAGAGCCCGGCTGAGACCGGTGACCCGGCATCATCTGGGTCTTGCCTCAGGAGGACCTTGTGGTTCGAATCCCGCGTCCACCTGTTAGAGGTGAGCTAGCCTGGGGCCTCAGTCTTCACATCTGTGCCGTGGGCGTCACAAGGCCCTTCCACCTAGACGGAGTGCCAGTTCACGACATAATACAACAGTGCCCTCGCTTTCCCCTCCTGGGGTTGACCCGGGACAGGGGAGCAGTTTGGGTTCACTTCATTGTCCACTTGTCCTCCTCGTGTTGCCCCTGTTTCTCATGCAAGATGGACGGCGGAGCCCCAGAGAGATTCGGAGTCAGACTTCTTGCATAACCACTTTCAACATTCTTTTGCCAAACTTGGAAATCCGTGTGAAGTTGACTCCAACACTTTCCACCCAATTTTTAACGACAGCGTTTTAATTGTAAAATTGTAGCAACAACCCACACTCACCACCTGAAATGACCTCAACGAGCATTGAAGGCAAGGCGTGCTGCATAATCGGCTTTATCCACACCTTGATAAGCTGATTAATATCGACCCATGACGTCATTTAAGATTCTGCCTGGTCTTCCTTTACTTGAGAAACTCAGCTTACTGGTCCTGTTAATGGACTTTCAGGTTGTTGGCAGTTTTTTGCGTTATTGAAGCCCTCTGATGAACACCTCCCACCCACACCTTTGTAAACTTGAGTGAGAAATGGGCTTTCTGAGTCTCTTTTCCTATACAGGTGAGCACCTATTTCTCCCCACCTTTGCCCACGTTGAGTTTTTCGACCTTAGACGTTTGCCATTCTGATGGACAAAGAACGGCGGCTCATAGTTTTTATGAGAAGTTCTGTCGTTCTGTGGTCCTTCGGTCTCCCACGCGAGCTCATACCGCTGGTTCTCTCGGAAGGAGACAGAAGGAGGCGGAGATCACCAAGAAGTTCCGGGATGCTCTGGCCAATGAGAAAGCCCGGATCCTGGCGGAGAAGTGGAAGGTGGAGATGGAAGACCGCAAGGCCGCTAAGGTTCTGGAGGAGGAGCGCATTCACGAAGAGTTCAAGGTGAGCCTTCTAGGGGGCGTCTGTGTGCGGCCGCATCCTCCGACTCCCGGGCCACTGGGCCGATTTCTGGTTTGCACCAGCCCTTGGCCATTGGTTGGTTCTGAGCGCTGTATGAGAACAGAAATCCGGCAATGTCTGAGCAGGGAGGAATTTGACATCTGGGCTAATCCACTTCTCATTGTACAGATAAGGAAACTGAAGCTCAGACAGGGGAAGAGACTTGCCAAGGCTGTTTGTAGTTGGGCACAGATGCAGGATCAGGACTCAGGCCTTTGCCTCCCAAACCAAGCATCCTGAAAGGAGGCCTGGAAGTTCTGAGTCTGTGGTCAGACCAGCCTAGGATCCAGTTCCAACTCTATGCTTACTGCTGTGTGACCTTGGGAAGCTTGCTGAACTTCTCTGAGCCTTCACTTTTTTGTTTGTAATGTTAGTGTAATAACAACACCCACCTTGAGGTTTTTGGAGGTTTCAAGGAGATGAAAAATGCACATGGTCTCTATTTTGAGATTTTTTTTTTTTGCTACAGGAATAAATACATTTTTGGGGGGGGGGTAGAAAATTCAGAAAATACATGTAAGCAAAAAGAAGAAAATAATCATCATGCTGAATCCCAACAATTGTGTATTAATGGCATTTGCCCATTTTTGAGTTTTGAAAACCTTTTTTCCCCCAAAATGATTAGATAGTGAGGATATTGGCCCCTTAAGATCATTTCTGTTGCAAATGTTTTTCTCAGTGTTGTTGTTTTTTCCTAATTTTAGTTGTAGTGCTTTTGGGTGTGCAGAAGATTGAAATTTTTATTAGCCAACGATGTCAATCTTTATTATTTGTTTCATGCTTAGAAAGATCTGTGCCACTACAAGCTTATAGAAATACGAATCTACAGTTTTTTGTCTGTCTCTCGTGATTTTATTTCTTTGCACTTAATTTTCCTTCTCTTGGGGTTGTGGTGTGATAATCGGGCTCCGACTCTGTTTTCTTCCAGATGGTTGACTGGTGGTCCCAACACTGTTTACTATGAGGTCTGTCCTCTCCTCTCATTGGACTTGCTGGCTTCATTCTTACTTCTCACTTACTTATGAATCTCTTCGTGGATTTTTCTTCTTTGCCTGATTATTTCTGAGCCAGATTGACTTATTATTGTAGCTTTAAAATAAATCTTAACATGTGTTAAGGTAGGAACCTCTCATTGCTCTTCATTCCTAAAATGTCCATTTTCTTCTAATAGAGACACATATGAATTATTTTGTCGCTATCCTCCTCTCCCCAACAACAAAAAAACCACACGGTGGTTTTCATTGGAATTGCACCACATAGAGCTGTTTTTGTGGAAGTTGGACATTTTTGCGATATTCAGTCGATGAACCTTCTTGTTCAGGAATGTGTATGTTCTTCCTGTTATGCAAATCTTCTTTTTGTCTTTGATAAAGTTTGTTTTTTCAACACCTGTAAATGCACTGGTCACCCAGTCGCAAACATCCACAATAACTTATACAAACCTACGTGCATCTATCTTTTGGACTTTCGTAAACTTATTGTTTTATTTAAGTGCTCCACATTTCTTTTTTAGTTAAACCTTAGGTTTAATATTTTTTGTTGCTGTTGTGAATGTATTTGTTCTCATTACTTTAAAACCTGTTGCAGTTGCTAGTTATATACTTATATATAGTGATTTTATTTATTGATCTCCTTATTTAACTTTCTCTAAGTTATATATTCTTTAGGAGATTCCCTTGCATTTTAAATGAAGCAATACTTAATGTCAAAACATTATGTTTAAAAAGAATTTCAAACTTGCAGAAAAGTTGAGAGAAAAATAAAATGAATGCTCATATATTCTCCACTTAAATGCACCAATTATTAATATTTTGCCACATTTGCATTCTCTCTTTCTTCCTCTCTCTCTCTCTCTATATATGTATATACATACATATATATATGTGCACTTTTTTTGTTGCTGCTGTTTTGCTAAACAATTGGAAAGGAGGATGCAGACATCTTACACTCTAACCCAGAGGTTAGCCAACTGTTTTCTGTAGAGGGCTGGGCAGTAAATGCTTCAGGCTCTGTGGGCCCCACTGTCTCCGTCACAATTACTGTGCTGGGCCGTGGTAGCGAGTAAGCAGCCGTGACAGCATGGAAACAAATGCAAGCAGCTGTGCACCAATGAGACTCTATTTTAAATAGCAGACGGAGGCCAGCTTTGTCCAGGGAGCCTTGCTCTGCGGCCTCCTGGTCAAGTCCTTCAGGCGCATCTCGCACGAATACGGACATCTCCCTGCACAGCCACAGTAATCACCACCACACCTGCTGACATTAACAATGATTCCATGATAGTATCTAAAACCCCATCCATGGCGGAGAGAGATTTAGTTTATCTTGTTAGATTTTGCATGGGATGGATTAAGTCTTCTGGGGAAGAAAGCCAGTACCTTTTCTGTGTCTCTAACAGCGGGCCCCTGTTCCAGCCTCTGGCCTCGCTCTTCCCGATGTGGGCTGAGTGCAGAGGCTGGGAAGGCGGCTCAGTGGAACCCGGGTCCTAGGGCTTAGTTCGCAGGGAGGTGATGGAGGGACTGAGCTCCCAGTGGGGGTTTCCTGGCTGGTGGTCTCGTGGAGAAGCTCGGTGATCGACTGTGGGGTGCTCTGTGTTGGGGCTCACGGAGGGTTCAGTGAGGTCATCTGGCCAGGCCTTCAGGGTCACTGAGGACCCCAAATGCGGGCTTCGGGCATCATTTCCAAAGAAGGTTATGGTTGTTTTGTGTTTGTTTCTGTTTTAAAAATTAATTTGCTCAATGTGAATGTTTAAACTTTAAAACCCATAGTAATCCTGATTTGGTATCAGAGACACAAGCCGTGTCTGCAGGCCCGGAGGCTCGTTAGGCAGCGTCTGCAGGGGCCTCAGAGCGTGGACTCCAGCTGCAGGCCAGGTTGCAGCTGGAATGTTGTCTGTCAGAGCATCTGTCAGTGAGCTCCTCCTCATCACAGGGAACGGTGGCGCGCAGGCTGGAACAGTCTCTGAAAAGCTCTCTGTGGTGGATTAGTGGGGCTGCCGGTGGGTCCTTCACTGCCCCCTTTGAGAGGTGGGCTCAGTTTCCCCTCCCCTGAGTCCCGTGGCCTTGCGTCCAGCTGTGATCTGTGGAGGGCAGTGGAATGACTGTGTGTGATGTTCGAGGACAGGCTGCAAGAGACGTGCAGCTTCCACGTCCACCCCTCCTGCACTGCCCCCTCCAGAAGCTGCCCCGTGGGAAGCCCTGCTGGCCTGGATGGCGGTGCTGGGAGGAAACTGGCCGGCCCGCGAGAGAGGAGGGGCCGGTGGAGGAGCACTGGGCACCAGACAGCCCTCACTGGGCTTCTTGTTCTTCCAGCGTCGCGTCTCGACCAAGTGACGGACCTCCGCGGACACCACGTGGGGCCGAAGGGCCACCAGCCAAGCCCTGTCGAAATTAATCATCTACAGAAGCACAAGCCAATAACGGCCGTTGTTCAAGCCACTACATTTTCTGGAAGTTTGTTTTTACTCAGATAACAAACGGCTTCACCGAAGGGATTTATGCATCAGATTAGAGATTGACTTAGATGATTTTTATTGCATCTTTTAACACCAAGATTCTAACATAATGTGAGTCTTGCATGCAGCAATGTGCCAAGAGCATCATCTGATTTAACCCTTTTTTCCCCTGAGAACCTATATGCAGGTTATTTGGGGGGAGGAGGGAGGTGGTAGCAATACACGCCCTGCTCTCAAAAAGCTGACTAGAATGCGAACTGGTGCGGCTACTGTGGAAACCAGCATGGAGATTCCTCAAAAAAATTAAAAATAGAAATACTGTACGACCCAGCCATCCCACTACTGGGTATTTATCCAAAGAACATAAAATCAACAATTCAAAGAGACTTATGCACCCCTATGTTCATTGCAGCATTATTCACAATAGCCAAGATGTGGAAGCAACCCAAGTGCCCATGAACTGATGAGTGGATGAAGAAGCAGTGGTATTTATATAGAGTGGAATACTACTCAGCCATAAAAAAGACAAAATCATGCCATTTGTGACAAGATGGATGGACCTTGAGGGTATGATAAGCAAAATAAGTCAGACAGAGAAAGACACACACTGTATGATTTCCGTCATATGTGGAAGATAAACAAACAGATGGAGAAAGAGAACAGATTAGTGGTTCCCAGAGGGGAAGGGGGTGGGGGGAGGGCAAAAGGGGTAAAGGAGCACATATATATGGTGATGGATGACAACTAGACTATTGGTGGTAAACACAATGCAGTCTATTCAGAATCAGAACTATAATAATGTACACTGGAAATTTACACAATGTTATAAGCCAATACGATCTCAAAAAAAAAAAAGGGCTTACCGGGTGCTGGGGAGAGAAGATAACTCCATGAGCGACCCTCAGCCCACCCACGCCATAGGGACTACAGTGGAGGACATAGGAGTTCCTCCAGGAATCTGGGCGCGAGCAAAGACAGGAGACGGAAGGCAGATAAGTGGACTGATGAATGGTCTGCTGGGGGAGAGCAAAAAGCATGTGATGGGTGGAGCCAGACGTAAGCCTGGAGGGGCAGGCTGTGGACCCTGGAGCGAAGCTGCCTGAAGGAGGTGGGCTGGTCTCTGTGGGCAGAGCAGAGCTGTGAGGATCCAAATGCAGAGGGACGTGGTTGGATCAAGTTTCGTGAGGAGAACTGGTGGTGATGGTGCAGGTCCAGTGGTGGAAGTTTGGGGAGGGAGAGGCCAGTTAGGAGATTTTTCACTGGTCTCCATGGGAAATGATGTCTGTGGCTATGGAGAGAGAGAGACGGGGATGGACACAGAGAAAGGGCGGTGGTCAGGGCAGCAAGGCGTAGCATCAATTTGATGTTGGGACGAGGGAAAGCAAAGAGCGGGGGCATCTGAGCCCCAGGCGGAGGGATGAGTGGACGGCACCACCCTCCTGGCTGTGGAGAGCTGGAAGGAGGTGCGGTCTTGGAGGAGAGAATGAGCTTG